ATCATCTTCATTACAATCACAAAATCATAGGTTAGTCTCACTCCTCCCTCTGTCTTCCATCAACCTTCTAAAATTTCTAACATTTCATTTTTATTCAATTTCACTATTCACATTATTTTAAAGATACATATTTCACCTGCAATTTAGAAATCTTTTATTAATCTAATAAAGAGCAGTGTTGTTGTTTTATTTTTGTTTTGGAGATAGATGCATGATTTTATTGTGCCATTGAGAAAGAGTTGAATGCATCTCCTCCATCATATGCCCTCTTCCAATACCTCAGTCCAGTGCTATGGGGCCTTTGTGTTTGTGTAGTATTATTTGGCATGAGAGCGAGAGAAAAAAAGAAAAATAAGAAAACAGAAATGGAAAAAAAGAAGAAGTGCGATGCTGTTGTTGCTGATGTTGCTGCTGCAGCGTGTGAGTATGTGAGGGAGAAGGAAAAAGAAAAGAAAAGACAAAAAACAAAGGAATAAGAACCAAAAATAAAAAAAAAAAAATTTGGAGCGACAAAGTTAGAGGAAGTGATGGGGGTGGTATTGAGATGAAAATTGGAGGAAAAAAAGAGAGAGGGTATTATTGTCTTTTAATGATTTTTTTGAACAATCCAATATTAATTAGAAAAAAATAAACACAAAAATAACATTTTAAATTTTCAAAATCCCAAATAATTTATTATTTTTTTTTACCAAGTTAATTTTTGAAATAGTAGTGCTATTTTAACCCAAACACACTTACAGAAAAATTAAGTTTTTTTTTTTTTTTTTTACAAAAAAAAAAAAAGGTAGTAATAATAGTATGTGAGGCAAGGAGCACAAATGTGAGGCTTAGGAGTACAAGGTGATGAAAGATAAGGTTTGAATTTTAAAAGATAAATTGCACTTTTTAATTGGGTGTACAAGTAGTATATATTATTGAGTTACTAAAATTTACTTTAAATTTGAACTCCTATTTTCATATGGTTATCAAATTTCTCTCGATCGAAGTTGAACCCGATACCTTACACCATAAACACAGCCACTAGGCCAAAGGCTCTGGTTGAATAAAAGTTGAAAGTTAAGGAATCAAAATAAAATTTGAATAAAAATCAAAAGGAAAAAGTGTTTATCATGATTTATGAGTTTTTTGGTTAATACTTATAAGCCAATAAATAAATCAAGCATAAAAACACAATAAACCCCATAAGTTTGGCTCTCATAAAATTTAATTTAAATAATATTTAGTTTTTTTGTTCATGAGTAATTCATTGTGTTTATACTTGTATTTTCACATAATCCATTGTAGTATTTTTAGTTCAAAGATTTTAATATAATTAATCCTTGAATTTTTTAAGTAATACTGAGAAAAATCATTAACTGAAAGTTTATAATATTTTATTTCTTTTGCAGTTCAAATGAAACAAATAGTACTTCAAGATTTTCACACGTACAAATTAATCGACACTACAATGAGTTATAACTAACATCACAATATATCATGATCAAAGATCACAAAAATTATAACTGGATCATATGGTACACACACTTTTTTGAGGTGTCTACTATAAAATTTTCCCCCATTTTTGCAACAAATGTTTTAATATAAAGACATAGATGACCATCAATTTTAAAAATCTTCTAATCTAAATCTTAGTGTTTTTCATATTTGTTTGTGATTGCATATTATTGTACAAAGTGGGAAAGACAAAGAGTTCAAATCCTTACCTCTATGCCCGGCCATCTTCAAATACCTCATACCAACCCTAGTCGCCCTCCTCACAGTGAAGTATAATGGCAAAACAGAGAACCCACTTGAGGCCCACCCTACAAACATGTGGACTTTCTTCATAGCCATATGCATCTATTGCCTGGCACTAGGACTCATCCAGGAAATGAAAATTGACTCTATAGTTTACTCTCAAATCTTGGGCTATCTTGCAATCATCTCCAGAACTGTTTCTTGTGTCTCCCTGGTTTTGATTTTTCTCCCAAATTTGCCTGGGAAGCTTGTTTATGGGTATTATTGCCCATAATTCTGGCAGTCATTTTGCTCAAGCAAGTCATTTTTTGTTGCCCGGACATGTTTGGTGCTACTTATCTGAGCAGAGAATTTCAAATGCAATCGATTGGGTGCAAGACAAGTTCGACTTTGTAATAAGGAACCTAATGGAGCAGCCATCTCTTTCCTGCTGCATCCTGTCTTGTCTAGGCATTTGATTTTTTGGTGTAACCTATATCCGTGTCAGATACTTGACAATTGGACCGGAACGTGAGATGTGTTTGATAGTTTTCATCAAACACTTCTTATATATTTGGTGACACACTATCATGATATATATCATTGTATAATTGTTATAAAATAATTTTTATTTTATAATATGACTAGATAAAAAAAAAATAAAAACTATAATATGACTCACACATGACCCCTTTTTAATCCACAAGGCCATTACATACAATCCCGTATACCTAGATCATTACTTAGCTTCTAATCAAAATTACTCATAACCCATTTGAATGGTAATACTTATTTAGCTAACAAATTCACTCAAAATGACTAAGATACCCTCAAAACCCTAACATTGTCCAAGATTGGGCCACATATTTGACCATAGTCATGAACCTTAGTATGATAAAATGAACTATAAAATGTGAGCCTTGTTCTAGCTGAAATTGCATGGAACTTGAAACTTGCATTCTTGAACCCACCCTTTCCATGAGAAGCATAGGGAGCTTTCAGGGTTTCTTTTGTAGCGAAAGCTTCAATCATCATCGATCCGTGGCAACCATTCATGGCATCTCCAATGGAGAAAGTGAGTTTGTAGAACTTGTTTGGGATTGTTCTTATGACTTGGGCAATGACACTTTCTCTCCCTCTAACTAGTCTGATCGTAGCAAGTCTAGAGGGGAGAAAAAAGTTTTTTAAGTCTATGTATTTGGTTTGAGTGACTCAATGATCCATCTAGGGATTGGTGAAACAAGGTCTTGTTTTTTGGAGAGGAGGAGGACTCCTGTTGAGAAGTTCTTAAACACATGTGAACCAATTTCAAATCCACTGTTTTTTACTAGGTTACCTGCATGGCCAAAAAAAAAGAAACTAAATAAAAAAATTAAAGGACTAAAAATAGTACAATCATGTACACCCTTGTTAGGGAAAAAATATATATGGCCAAATATGTGAACTCATAATTTTGAGGGTTTTGGACAATTTTGGTAAATACTAGTGAAAAGAAAATTATATTTGTACCTAATAGATCCACACAACAAACATTCTACATTAGTGTACCAATGGGTCCAAAATAACATATCATTTTGTTATGTGAATCACATTAAGAAGTGAAGAAAGGGCAAACTAAACTTTTAGTCTATTTTGTTTGCTTGTTGTGTCAGTTTGGTACTAGCAATTCTAATTGCATCAATTTTATCATTAAGTTTTTCACATTGTATCAATTTAATCCAATTAATAACATCGCATTAGAAATTTAGTTGCAATGAAGGGGATAAAATAGTCTGTATATCCCCTCAAAGTAATTAATGGATTAACATCCAATTCGAAAGGTTTCGTCACTTTTGAATGCCCCAATTTCCCTTTGATTTTGGTTTAATTTCTTAGTAGATATTATCAATTAGACTAAACTGATATAATATAAAAAAAAATTAAAGAGTTAAATTGATACAATTAGAATTACATGAGTCAATTTGATATTAGAGGTAAATTAAAAGAACTATCGGTGTAATTTTTAAATTTTTTTGGGTGCATAATTTTCACAAAAAAGAATGCTATGTGTATTCTTTTATTTCAAACTGAAATAGTCACTGCTCACCATCATAACTCATAATTTTTAAAATTAAATGACTCTGAATGATTTTTTTAATATAGAAAATTGTGTTAATAAATTGTTTTCCTTATGCAAAATACCTAAGATTGAAAATTAATCATATCTCTAACCCCACAACACATTAATTTTTTTTTATAAAAAAAAAAGGACATTATGAAGAGTTACCTCTAGTATAAGTGAGAGGGGGAAGCTCTTTGATAGCAATGGCATCCAAAAGGGGTCCACAAGTGGGTCCTTGAATCCCAGGGTAATAAAAAGTGACCTTAACAAACTTAAAACTAGCCATGAAAGCCCACCCATAAGTATCACCACCATCACTACTATACATGGTCTAAATTAAAAGATCAACAGAGAGACCAATGGCAAAGACTCTCAACACCTCATCAAGTGCACAGGTTCTTGTGGCTCCAAAAGTGATTGCACCAATAGTGTTGACAGTCACATTTTGAGAGATGGATACTTCATTTCCCAGCCTCACTGCGTGGGCGCCATGTGGAATGGCAAAGTAGAAGCCACCTGACTGAGGTCCACCTGACATGTACTCAACTAAACCATTGATTTCCCAATTGGGTAATGAGTGTTTTCCTTTGATCACTATTTTGTCAACGTATGAGGGCTTTGGTGGTATTTCAAAGTCTCCATTTGAGAAGTCCTGTGGAGAGAGAGTGTTCATAATTAATCACACATAGGGGCATCTCTAATAGTGTATCAAATATTTTATCAAATTTGTGTAAAAATTTGAGGAATTCCTCTATCTGATATCCAGCTCTCCAACGATGAATTTTTGGCTGTCAACAAAACGTAGGTCGTCTGGGGGGATGACCGGCCGATTGTCTAATAAGAGTAAGTGCAAAAAACCTATTTCTCTCCATTTCTGTTTCCCTCAATTCATTTGCCATTTCTTTTTCCCTCCATTATATATTTTCCATTTCTTTTTGCCTCTATTTATTATTTCCCTCAAAAAATAGATATAAATAGAGTAAACCATGTATTGTATAAAACCAGCAAACAACATTGTATTTGGAACCAACCCATAACTGAAAAGCAGAGCATAATGACTAGCTCAATTTTTTATTTGTTCACTGATTTTTCGTCCTCTTCTTCTTCCTCATCCTCTGATGATGTAAGTGATGATGAAAAAATTGTTACACTTCTGTGTCTTTATGAGATAAATAATGCTAGTATGATACAGATTCTAAGGGCAAGTGATCAATCAAAGAAAAGAGGTGGTTCTGTTGTAGGACATAAATACATATGTTGCGAAAGAAGGAAGAAGGGTCATGATCGATTGTTTGTGGATTATTTTGCAACAAATCCAGTTTATTCACCTGCAACATTTCAGAGACATTTTAGAATGCGTCGTCATCTGTATTTGCGAATTTTGAATGCCATTGAAGCATACGATACATATTTTGTTCAAAAAAAAGATGCAACTCATATCCTCGAATTGTTTCCACTTCAAAAGATGACTTCAGCAATTAGAATGCTTGCACATGGAGTGGCAGCAGATGTAGTTGATGATTATGTACGAATTGGGGAAAATACGGCAATTGAAAGTTTGAAACACTTTTGCAATTCAATAATCGAAATCTTTGGACCTGAATATCTTAGATCTCCAATAACAACTGATATTGCTAGATTACTTGCTATTGGGTAGGTTCATGAGTTTCTGGGTATATTGGGAAGTTTAGATTGCATGTATTGGGAGTGAAGAAATTATCCAACGACATGGCAAGGTCAATACGTAGGCCATTAGAAAATTTGAAAAATCCAAATCAACCATAGATCATTAAGTCATACACAAGTCATAAAATTGTCCAACAGCATGGAAAATCCATAAGTCATATGATTTAGCTCTTTGATAGCAATGGCATCCAAAAGGGGTCCACAAGTGGGTCCTTGAATCCCAGGGTAATAAAAAGTGACCTTAACAAACTTAAAACTAGCCATGAAAGCTCACCCATAAGTATCACCACCATCACTACTATACATGGTCTGAATTGGAAGATCAATAGAGAGACCAATGGCAAAGACTCTCAACACCTCATCAAGTGCACAGGTTCTTGTGGCTCCAAAAGTGATTGCACCAATAGTGTTGACAGTCACATTTTGAGAGATGGATACTTCATTTCCCAGCCTCACTGCATGGGCGCCATGTGGAATGGCAAAGTAGAAGCCACCTGACTGAGGCCCACCTGACATGTACTCAACTAAACCATTGATTTCCCAATTGGGTAATGAGTGTTTTCCTTTGATCACTGTTTTGTCAACGTATGAGGCCTTTGGTGGTATTTCAAAGTCTCCATTTGAGAAGTCCTGTGGAGAGAGAGTGTTCATAATTAATCACACATAGGGGCATCTCTAACAGTGTATCAAATATTTTATCAAATTTGAGTAAAAATTTGAGGAATTCCTCTATCTGATATCCAGCTCTCCAACGATGAATTTTTGGCTGTCAACAAAACGTAGGTCGTCTGCAGGGATGACCGGCCGATTGTCTAATAAGAGTAAGTGCGAAAAACCTATTTCTCTCCATTTCTATTTCTCTCCATTTCTGTTTCCCTCAAGTCACAAGTCATAAGAAGCTACTGCTTCAAGAATGATGGTTGGCTTTTTTTGATGGCCTATATATTGATCTTACCATGCCGTTGGACAATTTTTCCACTCCTAATGCATGTAATCTAAATTTCCCAGCATACCCAGAAACCCACGAACCTCCCCAATAGCAAGTAATCTAGCAATATCAGATGTTGTTGGAGATCTAAGATATTCAGGTCCAAAGATTTTGATTATTGAATTGCAAAAGTGTTTCAACCTTTCAATTACCGTACTTTCCCCAATTTGCACATAATCATCAACTGCATCTGCTGCCACTCCATATGCAAGCATTCTAATTGTTGAAGCCATCTTTTGAAGTGGAGACAATCCGAGGATATGAGCTGCATCTTTTTTATGAACAAAATATGTGTCGTGTGTTTCAATGGCATTCAAAATTCGCAGCTACAGATGACGATGCATTCTAAAACGTCTCTGAAATAATGCAGGTGAATAAACTGGATTTGCTGCAAAATAATCCCCAAACAATCAATCATGACCCTTCATTCTTTCGCGACGTATGTATTTATGTCCTCCAGCAGAACCAACTCTTTTCTTTGATTGATCACTTGCTCTCAGAATCTGTATCATACTAGAATTATTTATCTCATAAAGACCCAGAAGTGCAACAATTTTTTCATCGTCACTTTCATCATCAGAGGATGAGGAAGAAGAAGATGATGAAAAATCAATGAACAAATAAGAAGTTGAGCTAGTCATTATGCTCTACTTTTCAGTTATGCGTTGGTTCCAGATATAATGTTGTTTGTTGGTTTATATAGTACATGGTTTATTCTGTTTATATCTATTTTTTTGAGAGAAATAATTAATAGAGGCAAAAAAGAAATGGAAAATATTTAATGGAGGAAAAAAGAAATGGAAAAGGAATGGAGAGAAACAGGCTTTTTGCGTTTACTCTTACCGGTCAACCGATCGGTCGTCCCCCTGGACGACCTGCTTTTTACTGACAACCAAAAATTCACTGTTGTAGAGCTGGATATCAGATAGAGGAATTCTTCAAATTTTTACTCAGATTTGATGAAATATTTCATACACCATTAGAGATGCCCTCAGTTTGGTAAAATATTTTTTATATTTTCAATTTGATATAGGTTTGATGAAACCATTGGAGTAGAAAAAAAGAAAAAATTTCACCAAATTTGAAATTGATGATGGATTTGGTGCAGTGTTGGGTATGGCCTAATGTAGTCAAAATTTGGACTTGTTTTGTGTTTTTCTACCCAAATTAAAAGTTAAAAATCATATGAAAAGGTCGATTGTCACAAAAAAAAAAAAATTAAAAATCATTCAAAACATATAAATTTTTTTCAAGAAGTCATAGCAAAGTTAAGGGGGGGTGGGGGAAAAAAAAAAGGAGACAAGTTGTGAAATAAGCACTAAAGGTAAATGCACTTAGAGGTGTAAATTTGACTCGATCCGGCCCATGTTGGGCCTCGCGAGCTCCAGCCAAAATTCGGACCGGGCCGGGTCGGCTCACGGGCCAGAAAATTAGGCCCAAGCACAAGCCCAAGGGGTATTCGGGCCTTGGGCGGGTAGGTGGGCCGGGCCTCGAGCTCGCCCGGTGGGCCTGCACATTTTGTTTTGTTTTTTTAATTTTTTCTACCAAAATTTTATTATTTTTCACTAAAAAAGACACTGGGTCTTGGGCAGGCTGGGTGGACCAGCCACACGGGTCGCGCCGGGTTTCAAAATGATAGCCCAGGCCAGCCCAGGGTCTCAGGCTGGACTCATGCTCGAGCCCAAACGGGCCAAGCCCACCCCGGACCGCGGGCCATTTTTACACTCATGAATGCACTTATTTCTCAACTTTCAAATTTTATGTTCAATTTTTTAAAACTTATTTAATTTATTTATGTTTTATAAGTAGAAATTGCGACAAAATACTCTAGCATAAATTTTTAAAATAAAAAAAGAAAAAGTATAGGTAACCTTTTAGAAAATTTACATTTTTATGTTCTACTAAGAGGAGAAGTGGGTGGGGGGGGGGGGGCGAAAAGGCTTTTTTTTTTTTTTAATGAACCTTTTAAAAGATTTTTTCAATTTTTCTTTTAGATCTAGTAGATTGACTTGAAAAGTAAATTTTTTCAACAAAAATTAAAAAAAAATATACTAAAAAGGAAAAGACTCTAATTTTTTTTTTTTTGGCTGTCCCAAACTCACCAACAATGGATCTACATTTTGCCTCATTCCTTTGGATAACTACATTTAGAGAGTTTTAAAACCTAGGCAAACTAATTTCATGACTAGCGATTGTTGTTGGAGTACACATATTAGGTAAAGTTGTGAGATAAAATTAAAAAATTAAATTATTTTACATATACTTTTGTTAAGTAAAATGCAGTGTCAGAGTTACTCTAAAATGTAAAAAACATTGTTGATTTACAAAGCAATCAGAACTAAACCACATCACAATCAAGCAATTTCTTCCAAAAAGAGAAATAGAGATGTAATGTGAAATGTATATAAAGCAAGTAAAAGGGAGTGAAAGAGTGCTTACCATCAAGATGTGGTGGAAGAGGAGGAAGAGCTACAGACGCAGAGATGTTGTAGAGAGAGAAGATGAACAAAACAGAGCATAAGAGAGAGAAATAGAGCCATTTATTTGGCATTTGCTGATGCTGCTAGCTAGCTGTGAATTGAAATGAGGAAAGAGATGAGACTCAGCTATATATATAATAAAAAAATTAAAAGGGCCCAGAGCATCTCCAATGGTATTTGTTAAAATAGCATTGCCATTACTATAATTTGACAATGAATAATATTATTTTGTAAAATTATAGCAATAGTGCTCCAATGGTCACTTGTTATTTTGGCAAATTTCAACCAACTTTCCCTTCAAATTTATAGGTGTTGTTTGGATATAAGTTTTTTAGTGATTTTTTTTTTGTTTCGTTTATTTTGTCTTTTGTGACCTTTTTTTAACTGTTTCTAAAAAAAAAAACTATATATTTATATTATTTTTGACTAGACAAATATAAAAAATGAAAAAAAAAATCCAAATATAATTCACCCCACCAAAAAAACATATCACTACAAAATATATATATATATATATATATATATATTTTTACTACATATAAAAAATAAACAATCACCAAAAAATTTAAATATAATTCACCCCATCAATTTTTTTTAAACTACATATAAAAAAAAAAAACAATTTGTTTGTACTTATTTATTTTTTATTTTTTAGGCAAACAGAGCACAACGGCTCTTTTTAATTCCAAGACAAATCAAAACCGTCCACATACCCATTCACGAATGGTTGAGATGATTTATCTAGAATCATCCAACCCATTCCAAGACATACAACGGCTGTGTCTTCACTCTCCCTCTTATTCTGACTCTCACTCTCCTCTTCCCTCACCCTTCTTTGATCATCGAAACCTCTCTCCCTCTGTGTGTGTGTGTGTGTGTGTGTCTGTTTTCACTCTCCCTCTCACTCTGACTCTCACTCTCACTCTCCTCTTCACTTTTCTTTCTTCATTATGGAAACGCCTCTCTTTTTCTATGTCTCTGTATTTGAGCACAAGAGCAGTCAACACTACCGATCTGTCTATGGTCACCAATCTATCCCCCTCTCTCTGTTCTCAAACCTCTTTGATCTGTGCCTCTCTCTTTGTTCTCAAACCAGTATACTCTCCGATCAATCTGTTTCTCTCTCTTTGTCCTCAAACTCTCTTTCTCTCTCTGTGTCTCTATCTTTGAGCTGAAGAGCAGTATAATCTCCGATCTGTCTACTGTCCGATCTGTCTCTTTCTCTCTATCGATCCAAGTATTTGTCATCTAAATTCGTTTATGAAATTTGTATAAATTTGTGAAATTGATTCTGAAATTCGCTGAGAGATTCTGAAATTGATTCTCAAATTAAAATTTATGTGATTTGTTTGTGTGATTATGAAATTTGTGCAATTCTGAAATTTAGAAATTTATTTTGAAATTTTGAAATGTATTCTGAAATTTATTATGAAATTGTGAGATTTATTCTGAAATTGTGAAATTTATTGTGAAATTTGTGAATTTGGCAACTCCTTTGAAATT